AGTGTTCTGTGCTCGTCTGTGCAGCCAAAGACAGAACAGTTAGCATGTTTTGCTCAAACATTTGCCATGGCATTAGAACTAATACACCGTTGTCGCTTGCGAAATCAAAATGATGGAGCCGTGATTGGAAGTTTACAGATTATGGGGCGGTAATATTATAATGAGATCCCTTTGCAACGTCACAAGGGGAGCGAAATCAGACGCGCTCGTTTTTTCAGACGCTTGCAGAAAAGGCTTACCAAAACAAAGTTACTGGGTTAATCTTGTTCACATTTCCTTGGTTGGTAGATGCACCGGGGACATGCACTTAAAACCTGGAAAAGTCAGATTTCCATGATATGTCACCTTTAAAGACACTAAAATTCATTATATACTGTATATTTAATACAATTAATCAGTAATTTAATCATATATATATATATATTAGATTTAAAGATATATTTAGAATATAAATATATGTAAAAGACTTACACATTGTTGCCGTAAACAAATTACAGTAGCTGTAGGGACTTTTCTTGTTAGATGTTCTTCTGCCACTAGATAGCAGTAAAAGACCATAAACTGAGCTCAGTTATGAACTAAATATGAACACAAGCATACTGCTACTGCTTAATGCATATTGTATGAATAGCACCTACTAGTTTTAATATATGTCAAATGCAGCTATAATCAGTTTAAACTGACATATGATCTCACTATGTTATTATATTGGAAATAAATCTGTTTATATTGCATTTTTAAATGTATTTCATTCATTTTGTGTAAAAAAAAAAAAATACATACAGCCTATGTTATTGTACTGTATATTTGAAGTATCTGTGCGTCAAATGAAGCAGACATATATAAGTTGATTTCAGACTTTTAAAACCTCTAAAAATAGACTCTGGTAAAACATCTACAAGGCCTATGCTAAAATAAAAATTGTGTCGTTAGAAAAAAATGTTTAACTTTGAATGAAAGTAAAAAACGACATGATTTTTGCCTACACAATAGAATTTAATCAGATTAAATGCCATATCGAATTTAACGCGGATGAAAACGAGGCTACGAGTGATCGTTTTTACAATGGCACACACTATATAAAGAGCCTAAATCATGCATTTTTCACAACTTTCATAACTGTTTTATAACGTTTTTTTGTCTACTGCCTTTTCTCCGTAAAGACGTTTCGTGCAATCATTATGTTGTTAAACAACAGTACAATCAATGGTTTAGTTACAGCATCTACCAGCAGGGGCTAACTGGAGCACGTGCAAAGCTCTCTTTGAATTGTCCAAATCAATGACCTTTCACACAAATAATAACTTTCCCTCCTAAAATATTCAGGATTAAACCTACCTAAGCAGTTTGGAGGACATTATTACTTTATCCTTATTTTCCTGTTGTATTAAACACTTCTGTTTCATTTAAGAAAGCATAGCCTAAACAGTAATAAGCTTGGTAGACTGAGTACATTTGAGACATGTGTACAGTTGAAACACCTTAAACAACTTGCTTACACAAGAACCCCAAGCCTTGATTTTTGCTCCACACATGTGTATTAGTGTTCTCTTTGATCAAGGGAAATTTGAAATGTGTGCGTTTTTCCACTCCGAAGATATTGGCAAAGTTTTT